GGCTCAAGACCTAACAGCCGATAACGAATCATATCCTTACTAGATTACTTGTCAATAGGACGAAATAGGCGCCTATATCGCACCAGACATAACAGCCGAGAAAATTTCATATCCTTATCAGATTTCTGTGTCAATATGGCGAAATAGGCACTTATATCGCGATAGACCTAACAGCCGAGAACAGTTCATATCCTTACCAGATTACTTGTCAATAGGACGAAATTCCTGAGTATAACCCACTAGACATAACAGCCGAGAACAAATCTAATCCTTATCAGATTACTTGTCAAAAGGACGAAATACCCGCTTATATTACTCTAGACCTAACGGCCGAATAACCAATCATATCTTTATCAGATTACTTGTCGACAGGACGAAATACCCGCTTATATCACAGTAGCCCTAACAGCCGAGAACATTTCATATCCTAATCAGATTACTTGCCATTAGGACGAAATGAGCGAATATATCGCTCTAGACCTAACGGTCGGGAACAATTAATACCCTCATCAGATTACTTGTCAATATTACGAAATAGGCTCCCATATCGCACTAGACCTAACAGCCGAGAACAATTCTTATGCTTATCAATTTATTTTCAATATGTCGAAATAGGAGCCTATATCGCACTTGGCCTAATGGCAGAGAACAATTCATATCCTTATCCGATTACTTGTCAATAGGACGAAATACCCACCTATGTCGCACTAGACCTAACATACCAGATTACTCGTCAATATAACGAAACAGGAGCCTATATCGCACTAGATCTAACAGCCGAGAACAATTCATATCCTTACCATATTACTTATCAATATGACGAAATAGGTTCCTATATCGCACAAGAACTAACAGCCGAGGACAAATCATGTCAGATTACTTCTCAATAATACGAAATAGGTGCCCATGTCACAATTGAAATAGCGGTTTAGAACAAATCATATCCTTATCAGACTACTTGTAAATGAAACGAAATAGGCGCCTATATCCAACTAGACCTTCGTCGGAGAACAACTCATATCCTCATCAGATTACTTGCCAATAGGACGAAGTAGGCGATGAAATATCGAAATAGACCTAACATCTGCAAACAGCTCGTATCCTTAGAAGATTACTTGTCAACAGGATGAAGTAGGCGATTATATCGCACTAGACTTAACGGACGAGAACAATTCAAATCCTTATCAGATTACTTGTCAACAGGACGAAATAGGCATTATATCGAACAAGACCTGATGGCTGAAAACAGCTCATATCTTTATCAGATTTCTTGAAGAAGTAGACGCCTACATCGCACTAGACAAAACGGCTCAAAACAATTGGTATCCTTATCACATTTCTTGTCAAGAGGACGAAATAGCCGCCTATATCGCTTTGGACCTAACGGCCGAGATCAATTCATATCCTCATCAGATTACTTGTCAATAGGACGAAGTAGGCGATTATATCGCACCAGACCTAATGGTCGAGAAGATTTCAAATCCTTATCAGATTACTTGTCAACAGAACGAAATAGGCGCCTATATGGAACTAGACCTAACTTCTGAAAATAGCTCATATCTTTATCAGATTTCTTGTCAACTGGACGAAATAGTGGCCTTTATCGAACTAGACCTAATGGCCGAGAATAGTTCAAATACTTATCAGATTACTTGCCAACAGAACGAAATACGAGCCTACATCGAACTAGACCTCGCGGCTGAGAACAGCTCATATCCTTATCAGATTACTTGTCTATAGGACGAAATAGACGCCTGTAACTCTCTGGACCTAGCGACCGAGAACATTTCATATGCTCATCGTATTATTTGTCATTACGACGAAACAGGCGCCTATATCGAACTAGACCTCACGGCTGAAAACAGCTCATATCCTTATCAGATTACTTGTCTGTTGGACGAAATAGGCGCCTATAACTCTCTGGACCCAACGGCCGAGAACAATTTATATCCTCATCAGATTACTTGTCAATAGGACGAAGTAGGCGATTATATCGCACTAGACCTAATGGCCGAGAACAATTCAAATCCTTCTTAGATTTCTTGTCAACAGGACGAAACAGGAGCCTATATCGCTGTAGGCATAACGGCCGAGAACAATTCATATCCTCATCAGATTACTTCTCAATAGGACGAACTGGCGATTATATCGCACTAATCATAAGAGCTCGAACTGGTTCATATCCTTATCAGATTACTTGTGAATAGGAGGAAATGCGAGCATATATCGAACTATTCCTAACGGCTGAAAACAGCTCATATCCTTATCAGAATTTTTGTCAACAGAACGAAATAGGCGCCTATATCGCACTAGACATAAGGGCTCAAATCAGTTCATATCCTTATCAGATTACTTGTCAATAGGGCGAAATAGGCACCTATATCGCTCTAGACCTAACGGCCCAGAACAATTCATATCCTCATCAGATTACTTGTCAGTGCCACGAAATATGCACCTATATCGAACTAGACATCACTGCTGAAATCAGCTGATATCCTTATCAGATTACTTTTATCAGGACGAAATAGGTGCCTATATCGCACAGACCTAACGGCTGAAAACAGCTCATATCCTTATCAGATTACCTGTCAATAGGACAAAATGGGCGCCTATATCGCACTAGACCTAGCGGCTCAAATCAATTCATGTCCTCATAAGATTACTTGTCAATATGACGAATGATTCCGGTCTGATAAGGACACTAATTGTTTTTTGCCGGTAGGTCTAGTGCGATACAGGCCCCTATTTCGTCCCATTGACAAGTAATCTAATAAGGATTTGAATTGATTTGAGCCATTAGGGCTTTTACTATATAGGCGCCTAAATCCTCCTATTGACAAGCAATCTGCTGAGGATACTGATTGTCTTATTTTTAAGCCAAACGCGAGGTGATTCAAAAAACTTTATGTGACAGCTGTCGTTTCGACAGTTCGCCTTTTTCAGAGCCTAAATGGTCAAACTGTCCGCAATCCAATAAGCCAAACACCTCCAAAGTCCCTTAGAAAAATCACCAGACCTAGATTTCAATCGCATCAAGCACAACAACTCTCAACATACTCACCTCTTTTCATATGTGTTCCACCGAATGATTCAAGTGGAGACTACCGGAAGGAGATCACATAGGCTCGTAATGCACCTTACCCATCAAAATAACAAACTTATTTACTGACTAAAATCAAGTGTGATAACGAGGCATTCCTCCCTGCGGTCCATAGTTGGATTGGTGGTATTAATCCAAAAAGCTTCAAGAAGTTTTCGCGCTGATGTTTTTTGTTCCTGCGCAAGGATGGTGACTTCAATCTCAAAATCAGCTCCGTCGTGTTTCTGTTCTCTATGTGTCCCTAGCAGGGTGCTCCGTCTTTTAAGACGCTTATCAGCTAGGTGTTCTTCTCTGCGGGCATAGAGCGGCCTACCCGTTTCGCCAATATATTTATCGCTACACGCCTTGCAAGAGATTTGGTAGACTGTGCCTACGCTCGTGCAATCACCGTCTCTGCAGTTAGGACATATTTTACGATCTTTCATGATACAGAGACGGTCATATATGCGGTTGCGAACTAGTTGGCGTTTTAGAGTATTCGGTGGTATTTCAATAAGATCCACCGATTGCTCTAAACCGCTCTTTTCAAACAGCGTTTTATAGCTGTACTGATCTCATTTGAAAAGAACGGGAGGATGAACGGGATTTTCCTTTTATTCGAGTTTTCGTTCGGAGGCGTACTATTTCCTCTAAACCTAAGCCAAGAGGCTACAAATTCATATCCATTAGAAGTGGCTATTTCCCGAGCCAGTTTCACGGATTCTACTCTCTGCTCCTCCCCAGTACATACGTTGGCTGCTGTTCGAAACATGTTCTTTACTAGCGCCTGTTTCGTATGTGAGGGATGAGAAGAGAGACAGTGAACCAGGATATTTTTACTACTTGGCTTCCGATACCATTTTGTGATGTAGCCGCTCTCGCTTAAGCTTACTTGCACGTTCAAGAAAGGAAGCCAATGATCCTTTGGTTCTTTACTAGCTCCTTTTTTGTATGTGAGGGATGAGAAGAGAGAAGCTGCTTGTTATTAGCCGTTAGGTCTAATGCGATATAGGCGCCTATTTCGTCCTATTGACAAGCTATCTGATAAACTAATTGTTTTGAGCCGTTAGGTCTAGTGCAATATAGGCACCTATTTCGTCCTATTGACAAGTAATCTGATATGGATATGAGCTGTTTTCAGACGTCCGGTCTGGTTCAATATAGGCGTCTATTTCGTCCTACTGACAAGTATTCTGATAATGATGTCAACTGTTTTGTGCCGTTGAGTCTAATGCGATAAGGACGCCTATTTCGTCCTAATGTGATAATTACACGAACTGTTTTACGCCGTTATTCGTAGTGCGATAAAGGCGCCTAATTCGTCCTATTTACCAGTGTTCGGATAAAGGTATGAATTGTTTTGAGCTGCTTGGTCTAGTGCGATATAGTCACCTATTTCCTCCTATTGACAATTAATCTGACAAGGATATGAATTGCTTTTATTCATTAGGTATATTGCCATATGGGCGCCTATTGCGTCCTAATGTGATAAGGACATGAAATGTTTTACTCCACTATTCCTAGTGCGATAAAGGCGCCTAATTCGTCATATTGACAAGTAATCTAATAAGGAGATGAATTGTTTTGAGCCGTTTTAATTCCAAAAAAAAACGTATGCCTTCCCTCTGCTATTGATAATCGCATCCTCTTCGTCATCATGCTTTTTCACAAAGGCTTCATCTCATGTTATGCCCTCACAAATGTGGCCTTGTTTCAGAAGTGACAGATACTGAAAGAACCACTCCAAATCTTCACTGGTCAAAGCTCCAACTCTACGTGCAGTATGCTATAATGCTTAAAGACCATATACTTCCAGCCTACCCTCAGATTTACGTTATTGTTCTGATTTGCTTTAGGAACGCATCTAAATCCTAAGACACATTTTTTTCAACTAAGAGAATTGGGTGGTGAGCAAAAACACGGCCTCAGGCTAGAAACGAACCCACGTTTCATCCTATCCAGGGACGCGTGTTCTACCACTACACCACTGAAGCACATTTGCCCGACCACTCATTCTTCAACATCTCTATGTTAGCTATCAGCCCCAACCTTTAACAGGTTTAGTGGGATATGCGATTTCGCTTTATAATTCCCTTTAAGCTGACAGCCACTTTTATATATGATACTTCGTAATTTCGTAAACACATTTTTTTCCTCAGTGTTATATAGGTGTACGTTTCGTGTAGCGCAGTGATATCAACCGTGGGATGAGTAAGTTTTTTTTACTTCTGCCTTAAAAAATCCTAGCATCATTCGTCAAAAACCACAACTAGATATCCAACTCAAAACAAACTTTTTCAAATCCTACCATGTCAGTAATTCCGTCTCTTTCTGAACTCGTTCATTGCATACTCGGCCGTCAAAGACATTCCATCTACATTATCAAACGTCTGTACTGCAGCGATAAGAAAACGTTCTTCCTGAATATGATTTGTCATTGTCAAAAAAGAACGATTAATTAGCACTACAGAGCACCCTGAAATCGATTCAAAATAGGTCCTCATAGAAATATTCTTGATGTCAAAATGAACCGAATGCATTACTGAGTGTGTGTTTTTCTAAAGTACTTTATCAATTTCTACCTTAACCTTATCAATGCATCCACTGGTTTGATTCATAATCACGTTGCGGTCCATTGCAAGATCATTTTCCTACTTTTCTGCAAACATCTGACGAGTGTCGTTTCCTGAGAACTGTTTGATGAATTACTTAACACTTACGTCTCCTGTATAGTCGTGAATCTAATATTGAGTTCAGTCTTATAGTTTTCCCACAATGGGTATCACAAATATAGTTTGATATAAGATGAACAAAAGAGTAACCAGCACCCTGTTCTGAAACGTTGGTCGACCGTTCAAGTGTGAGAAATTCATCGTCCTTACGGCATCATGGGCCACGCATGGAAGGCGACGCAGATCTTTAGAGCGTTGCGCAGCTCGCTGATAACGATGTGATCGGAAGCTGGGATTTCAAAGCTTCAATAATTTCTGATTAGATTATAAGAGCGACAATTATTATATTATCAATTTTTGATAATGATTAAATTGCTGATTGATAGAGGCTTCTCTATGAATGTAGATTATTTATTGGCAGAAAAGTATTTAGCCTGTCATTTTACTCGGTTGGTCGGTTGTTTGGTTGGCAGATCACAAGAGCTGTCCTCTCATTCTAGTCAAATGGAAACAGTTCCGAATACATGCACAACCTAGTGCCCTCATTTCATGGCATCGAAGGAAATTGCACTATGCCAGCGTTAAACATGTCGATCATGAGAGAAAGATTCCCAAACGGAAGCCAAGCACAGACAACCGCGCGTCACCACCTCGCTAGATTGCGATTTCTAGGCGATGAAGCGAGCGAAAGATTTGCTCCGAATATAAAAACTGGGGTTTAGGATCAAACCAGTCACAAGTTCGTATTGTAGAGCACCTCTAACCGCTGCGTTGCATATCCTCAGTTATTTGTATAAAATGAAATCATTGGTGATAGCTCAGCAAGATACTTGGAAAAACTTGTTGTTCACCGTTCTCTAACAATCACTAATCACCCGTAAAGGAACCAAGTAAAACAGACGCAGTTTTTCTCCATAAAAGGCATGCTTACAGATAATGACTCATGAAGGTGTCAAAACATCGTCGACGTGCCTCTAACCGTGCAAGCTCCACCGCTGTGTTGGTCCAGATCTGAAGCAAAAATCTTTTCAGGGATAACAATCAGTTATTTGGAAATTTGACTCGCCTGCTGCTCATGTGGTACAAGTTTCTCCTGTTCTGGTCTAGCCCTTTCGTACAAGAGCTCTCATACCGGGGACCTGATACCGCCAGGTTCATCGAAGCGCTCTGCATACAGTGCGAACAGCACGCACTTCATCTGGACACTTGAATGTTGGGAAGCATACACCAGCAATATTCCATAAGCTTACACACATTAGCCAGTGAAGACGCCAGCTTTGTAGTACCATAAGCTCAAAATGAATCCTACCGCTAGTTATGCTTTATATACCTTACGAACACATCTTTATCCACGTGTTTATTTCCGCCTTGATAGTGATTGCTTTATCAGATAGAACTTGCAAACAATGTCCTTATTAAGTATTCAATTCACAGCCCAAGTTGTAATTAGCACAGCTTTTCATATATTAAATTCCAGCATCATTTCATCCGTGTAGCGAAAGATTTCCAGTCTGCAGTCGAACTGAATGATAATTAACCCCTTCTTCACAATTTCGACCTTATCATGCTCACGTCACTACGGAACTTTCACGAACTGTACAGGTTTCGATGAATGCATGTGTCACCTGTCCAGTTTAGAATTCCACTTTCAAGTCCTTACAAATTCTTTTTACAATTTCTTTTTTTTTGGATAAAGGAAGAAATCGAACTAAGTAACCGGACGACGATTCGAAAGAAAACCATTACTATTTACCAAACAAGGACTGATTTCAGTGCACATAGAAATCGCTTCTAAACTAAGCGCTCTAACGAAGGACCAGCCACGCCTTGATCGGGTGAAGCGGGATGGATGCAGCATTTGCTGCTCAAAAATCATTCGAAATTTGAACATGTAGCTGCTGATTTCTCTGCCAGTAATGCTAATAAGTAAGACCTAAAACAAGTCTGGATTTCATGCACACTTTCCAGGTCAACCACGCTGGATAAAGCTTTGCCTAGTCCAAATTTTGGAAATTTACTGGGATTTTCCTTATTGGTGATAACCTTCGCATACCTCACATGCATCTATCAGTTTTTTAATTCGGAATTTTAAAAAAAATCAGCATCGAGAAAATTTTGGAATGCAACGAATTGCACAATTATCTATCATATGCTTTTTATAAGCAGCTAATTTCAACGCACAATAATCCATAATTTTATTCTGGTCAATCTTAATGATTGTCCATTGAAAAGCACATCACCTGTCAGGGGTCTTTATAATTCAAATCCTTTGGTAGTATGATGGAAAAAAAGAGTGGATTTTACAGAACTACTAAAAATATGTGAAGAAAACGAACGTCGAATTGTTAAGGTTCTAGGGCAGTCTGATGAGCCTTTTGAGAAAGATTGTTTTATAGTATAAATCGAGCTAATGTGACGATGAAGGACTTCCTGCTTCAGACGAACCTTTGAGCAAGGCCACTCTTCTTCGCAACGTTTGTGCGTTGATGTTTATGACACGAACGTTTTTCACATTCTGCCATCAATCTTTGGCCAGCGCAACAATGTCATAGAAAAACTGCCGTCTTTCTTACATGAAGATCAAAAGCAAGATCTGTCCTGAATGTTGAAATAGTCCTAGACGATCTACTTTCGAATTCTTTTGATTAATAACACATGTTCCATTGGGTCCTTTGTCTCATAGTCTTATCGACTGTTGAATGCCTTCTTGGCTGTGAATCTAGGGCCTGTCATACTCCTTTATCACTGAAATGTCGAATGCAAGTCAAGTGTGACGTTTGCTTGCATTCTCGGTAATCGTATTACGGTATCATCCTTCTCATCCTAGATGGTCGCTGATTCTTCCAAAGCATCACCTAATCCAGTGACGACAGCGTTACCTGCGTCCAGTATATCAACGACTTATTGAAGTAGTGACAAATTGAGTCCCATGCTAATATGCTAATATCCGTTTCCTGATAGTGTGGAAAATTTAGTAGATAAAACTGTATTTTGAAAAGAGTTGAGTTTCAATGACTTTCTCTTTCTCTGTTTTGATTGCTCAACAAAGAATCCATCCCTTTGAAGTCGGTGAGGCAGACCAGAGGCTCTCTCATGTACTGATGGGACCTCTCAAGGCCACCTATACGTGGCCTCATTGAAGTTATTTGTGCAGGTGAGAATTGGGCGAGATACAAAACATCATCTCGAGAGCATAGTGGAATAAAAGAAGTAAGAAGAGCACGTAAAATGGCAAAGATTGCACCAATGAATAATGTTTGTGATGTTATAGATCAAAAATTCAGCAGCGAAGTCGTTGAATTGGCAACGTATTGCAATCTGTAGAATTGTTTTACCAAGCAAGTCTTGTCTTGTAATTGTTTTCGCGTAATCTTGTCATCTTCTTTAGGTTAAAGCCTCTCGCCACATCCCAGTAACTGGTTGTCCATGTGGACATACTCTCCTCAGCTTTTGTTCTCACTCTCAATTTTTTCACGGTCTCAATTAGCTGCTCTAACACCGCCCTCTCGTATCGTGAGAATGCAGACGCAGGAAGCACGACATTCTCGCCCAGAGACACAAATGCCGCCTTCTATAACTGCTGCGCAAGCGACGGTGCGACACCGCCTATCAACGCTGGTCCTCAAAGGGTTAATACAGTCAAGGATCGAATGGCTTTTTGGCGGGAATATGCGAAGTACATTTTTGATATTCAATCAAGAATTGCCTTTTTTCTCTAAGGTCCTCAAAGGGTTGATACAGTCAAGGGTCGAATGGCTTTTTGGCGGGAATATGCGAAGTAAATTCTTGTTATTCAACCAAGAATTGTCTTTTTTCTTCAAAAAAATTACAGATTAAACGTTTGTCACTGGTAATGAAAAATTCTCTCCATATGTTCATATGTTTTCCGCGCTTTCAACGAAGTAATAGTTAAAAATTCGCGGCCGATGTAAAACGTGATTTTATTTCGAAGTTTTCGAAAACCGACCATGTATCGCGCTAGCTAGAGATTCAAGCTTGCAAATTATTACTAACATTCTTGTGCATAGTTCTTGTCCTAGAAGCGATGCTAAATACTTATTTTTGCCGTCTAACAAATAAGGACCATGGATTTTACTTTAGTGCTATGACTTAACATAATTTTTTCACGAGGTAGTTGAGTTGTAAGCCTTGTACGTCTCGTATACTAAGCGATCCAGGATTTTCTACGATTTCCACGGCTTTTGTTTTTCATTGGATAAAAGATTTAAAAGGCCAGAGATTCAGCACATTGGTACGAATTAGTTGCCTTTTTGATGTGTGTACATCTTGGTAAAAAAGAGTATCACCTTCATCGAAATTAT